AACTAAAACCAAACCAAACCAAACAATAGCAAAAACAAAACAACAAAACCAACTAAAAACAAATTCTTTACATTTTTTTGAGAAAGGATCTCACTGTTTCCCTGGCAGACCTGGAACTCACTGTGTAGACCAGGCTGGCCTCAAACTATGTGCCTCAGCCTCCAGAGTGCTGGGATTAAGGCATGACCCACCATATTCAGTAAAATAAAAAAGGAAAAAAAAAAAAAAAAAAGAAACAGCACATTAACAGAAGGTGCTCAGTAAATATTTGTTCAGTTGAATTAAGTGTCAAAAACAGACGACTGGAACTTCCCAACTCTAAGAATACCGCAGCCTAAGGAATGGTGACGCTGAGTGGAAGCTGTCTCCTCCTAAACAGGGCTCCGAGTGGGCATGTGTGGTGGGAGGGCCGCTGTATCTTCACAGACACACTTGGGGCTCCTAATAGCCCAGAGAGAATCGCACCTGGGAATAGGGCTGCGGGAGTTGCAGCTGCTCGCCATTACCCATTCTGAGCCCTGGTCTGCTACACAGGTGTTTTAAAGTTGTTTTGGTCTTTGCCTCTCTCCCTCAGTTTGCGAAAGACACAGAAACTTGGGGGTGGGGATGTGTGGGTGACACTTATCAGTTCCAAGAAAGCACCCGCGGTGGAAATAAAACTTCACAAAGAACTCGGGGGTCTTGGGGTAAGCAAGCCTCCCCCCCCCACCTCCCCGTTTAAGAGCGGTGTGCTGTGGGACTTCAACCGGGCATCTGAAAGTTTTCTCTTCGGTTTACTCTTGCGCAGGTCCCAAACTTTCTACAAGATGAAGGCGCTCTCATCTCTACCTCTTCCTTTCGAGGACTCCATAGTGGTTTTTTTTTCCACGCTTCGCTGCTGCTACTATAGGGGACGCCCGCCTAGTCATTATTTGCCTTACGATCTCGGGTACCTTGACTGTAAACAAAACACTTTAGTAGTGAGGTCGTTTTAAGCACAGCTGGTCTGCCTGCTGGCAGCCAGACCTCTTAAGGTGGAGTGGCCTGGACTGGTTTACTGTTAAGATTAACAGAGCAACAAAATGGTGCTCCTATGTACTATTGAAAAATTCCTTGTGTGTAGAAATAGAACTATTGACTTTCTCTTTTCAGGTATGTTGAATTAAAAAACAAAACCTTCTGTGGAAAGCTGAAATTTCTCTACATATGTTTTGTAGTTTGGGCAGACACACACACACACACACACACACACACACACATCAAAGTTCCTGTGCAGTCTAACAATAATTTCTTTTTTTTTTTTTCTGAGACAGGATCTTACCTAGCCCAGGATGGCCTTGAACTCCGTGTTGTTGAGGATGGGTTTGAACTCCTGATCCTCCTACTTCTCCCTCTTGAGTGCTGGGATCTCTAGCAATTATTTTGAAACTTGGATATTAGTGTCAAGGATTGGTATGTATTGTCATAAGGCTCACCCTCATTTTCCTGTCCAGTCCAATAAATTAGGTAGGAATGTCAAATGTAGAAAAAAATACCTGGGCGATCAGTGAGATGAGTGGGTAAAGACACTTGGTTGTGCAAACCTGGCAACCCAAGTTTAATATGCAGAGCCCACAGAAAGGTGAAAGGAGAGCAGCGACACCACAAAGTTGTCCTCTGACCTCCACATGCGTACCACGCTCATTTGCCCCCACACAGACAATAATAAATACATTTAAATTATTTTGTTACATTTATTTATTCTGTGTGAATGTGGGTAGGTCAGAGTACAGCTTGCAGGAGTTGGTTCTCTCCTTCCACTATATGGGTTCCAGGAACTGAACTCAGCAAGCTTTACCCCTTGAGCCATCTCACCACCCCTAATTTAAAAAAAACAGGGGACAGGAGGAGAGATGGTTCAGTGGTTAAGAATACTGATTGCTCTTGCAGAGGACCCAGGTTTGGTTCCCAGCACCCGCATGGCATCTAACAGCCACCATAACTCCAGTTCCAGGGGATCCAACAACCTCTTCTGACCTCCGCAGGCATTGCATGCACATGGTGCACTTACATGCATGCAAAATATTCATGCACATTAAACAAAACAAAACAAGCAAAAAACCTTCTGGGCACAGTGGGGTGGGCCTGTAGCCCCAGCTACTGGGTCTAGAAAAATTAATTTTATGTGTATAACTATTTTGGCTATGTATGTGCATCACATGCATGTAGTGCCCACAAAGGCCAGAAGAGGGCGGGCATTGAATCCCCTAGAATTGGAGTTACAGATGGTTGTCACCCTCCATATGGGTACTGGGAACCAAACCCTGGTCCTCTGCAAGAGCAGAGGGTGCTCTTAACTACTGAGACATCTCTCCAGCCCCTTGCTTTTGTTTTTAGGAGACAGATCTCATGTAGCCCAAGCTGGCCTCCAATTCAACTATGTAGTCAAAGATGACCTTAAATTCCTGATCCTCCTGCCTCTACCCAGACACTTTGGCACCACACCACTCCAGTGGGCAATCCCAGCTACTTGGGAAGCTAAGGTAGAACACAGGAGTTCAAGGCCAGCTTGAGCAACACAGTGACAACCTTCTGAAGCACAACAAAACAGGGACTGGAGAGATGGCTCAGTGGTTAAGAACACTGGCTGCTCTTGGAGAGGACCTGGGTTTGATTCTGAACACCCACATGGTGGCTTACAACTATCTGTAACTCCAGTTCCAGGGGAATTCAACACCCTTTTCTGACCTCTGTGGGCATTGCTCAACACAGCTACACTTTCGTACATGCAGGCAATACACCCATACACATAAATAAATACACTTTTTAAACAACACAACAAAATAGAGAAAAAAAAACACCACAAAAGATGCAACTTTCCACCTTGGCCCCAACTGAACTCTTCCCTGTGAGTTAGGAAGTCCTGACATTGAATCCAGTTCTGGAAAATTCCTTGGTCACTACTCTCTGGGTGTCACCCCTCTTTTTGAAATTTGTGTTTTAGTTGAACTAGTAGTGATACCAGAGGCCAGTGACAGCTGCACTAAAATAACAGTGACAGCAAGGAAACATCTGCAGGCAGCCCAGGCCTGGAAGGAGCCATTTTGGATCCCTGGGAGAGAGGATGGCCTGCAGAATGCAGCTCAAGCAAATCCAGACAAAACCCGGAACCGCTGGGACCACCAGGAAGGAAAGGGACAGAAAATGAAGCCGCTTGAGAATGAGACCCACATCTAGTCCTGGCTTTGCCACCAACTGTATGTAAGTCCCCAGACAGGAAACCTGAGTCTCAATTTCCTCATTGGTAAAAAGAGGCTAAACCACAGGGTCCCTAAGGGCCCCTGGACTGTAACATTTCGGAATTTAGGAGGTGAGACAGGCACACAAAAACAGACAAGATGTAGCTAAGAAAACAATTCAGCAGTCAAACACAGAGCACAGATGCGTAAGAAAAGCCTGCTGTGTGTGATATTATAACAGAATCTTAGTTTCTGATAAAATTTATTGTGTTTAGGCCAAACCAAGACTTTCTTGGGAATGTGACTGGGTGGGCACGTAAAGAATCCCACTGAACTGTGTTGGTGATGACAGACCTGCTCATTCTGTTTTAACTTCCATCACCAAGCTCAACACACATTGATAAAGAAATCAGAAGTTGGGAAGAGGAGCAAAGGAATGCCCAAATATTACTAGATGTGATCAGCATGGTGCTGGTTTTGCAAATCACTTCATAATCTGGACTTGGCTATCAGGGAAGTATTTTCACTCTTTAACAGCTTGCACCTCTCTAAAAGCATTTGCTTGCATTTGAATATTATTTTGAGTGTGTCGGGAGCAACAGGCTGGTGGGAGAGAAAAGGGGAGGAAGGAAGGAGCTGTTGTATTTGGCTTCTAGACTCAGGTGGAGAAAACTGCTTCAGCCCGGGAAAGAACTGAAAAGTATAAAGAGGCGAGTTGCCACACGCAGCCTATGGCAATGCCCTTAACTGTGCTAGGGAACCAAGAACTAGAGGCAGGGGTGTAACCTGGCTTTTTCAAAAGTGTCTGGGGTGGCTACAAAGTATCTAAGGGACTTCAGAGACCACTGAAAGTTTCGATCGAGATGCTTATCGGGAGAGTGGATGGATTCAGAAACACGATGATCGCTCTGTGTATCTCTTGCTAACTTAAAGACGTAGGTCCTGGGCTCCTTTCAGGAGCACCACAACCCGCGCGCCCGGCCTCTCCTGACTTGTGGGGTCAGGCTGAGCAGCCCATTCCTGAAACCCCGACTAAAGCTTTCAGCCAGGGGGCTCCCAGGCGCTGAGCCAAGATTTCCCGGCCTCCCCCGCATCCTCCCGCATCCTGGGCTGGGCGAGTGCAAGCGGACTGAGCTAGCCACCCAGCTCCTGCGCACCCGGAGCGCCTCTGGTCCAGGGCCTGGGTTTCCCGGGCGGGGAGGTCGCGGCTGGGAGCGGTGGCGCGCCAGGCGGCGCAGCGCAGTGTGGGGACCTCGAGCCCCAGGTCCTAGCCGGGCTGCTTGGCCGCCCCGCAGGCCCCTCCCCAGCTCCCCGGCCGTTTGGCTAGTTTGTTTGTCTTATTTTTAATTTCTCCGAGGCCAGCCAGAGCAGGTTTGTTGGCAGCGATACACCTCCGAGCAGTCACGCGACCAGCTAATGTCCTGGCCGCGCAGCCGGGAGAAAGCGCGTTCGGGAGCGCGGAGAGGCGGCCGCGCTCCCGGGGCCACCTTAAGAGCGTGCTCGCCAGCCTCGGCTGGGCGGCTCCCGGCGCAGCGACCAATGGATCGCCTCCTCTGTTTAAATAGACTTGCTGTGTCAATCATCTTCTTCTTCGTCAG